GTCTTGTTCCAAACTAGTATTTTTGTAATTTTTTTTAACTTTTGGTATGGAATTGCTAAATTATTTCTGAAAAAGGTACATCTATATCTTTAGTTGATTTAATTACTTTTAGTTGATATTAGTTCTTTTATATTTCGTGTACAGTTTTATGACAACTTTCAAAGATCTTGAATAAGAGTTTTTTATATTAGCACCTATTGTCCTCAAAAGCAGTTAGTAAACTGGACGAAGGAAAATTCCTATTATCATCAGAATATTATACTAGTGTGCCCACTATCATTATCCAAAAATCTACATTATTAAAACTATAAATACTTTTAAGGATTTAAAAATTTTTCACAAAAAGATTAATTAATTACTGTTCTTAATAAGAGTGAAGTTAAACTAAAATCTTAAATTTACTCGTACATATTTTTTTTGGATACATATATTTACTTCTTTTCATTTCTATTTTATATACGAAATTCAAAAACTTTTTAAAGTCACGCACACCAACTGTTCTTCAGCTGATTTGTGGCCTCTTCCAATGAAAGCCCATTGTTTATCATTTAAGCATTAAATTTGGAGCATATCATTTTACAGCCTGAGCATAATGGATTCTTTTGTTGTTGTAGCTCCGTTGAACCTTATCGCAATTATATGCAACCAAACTTTTAATGTGTGGTTATGGCATCTTATGTCCATAAATTCCAAAATGCTGCATATTATACATAAGTGGGGAGCGAGGTAATGAAGTGTTAAGCTCACATTAACCTAATTTCCAAAACGTGATTTGCAAATAAAGCAAATATCTACATGAGATAAAAATATTTTGAATGAAATGAAGAGGAATATCAGTTAAAGTTCACAATTTTTTTTTTATAAAACATCCAAATAATGCAAACCAGGTAAAGAAAGACATATAAAATATATCAAATTTTTTTTAAATAAATAACTAAATAAAGCAATATATTTATATTGAAATTATATTGGCATATTTTATGTTTTTATATTTATAATATTTTATTTAGCATAACAATGTACATATACATAATAATATACCTTATTGTGTGATGGAAAGAAATCATTAAGATTGTAGTTCTATAAAATAATATTACTGCAAAGGAAATGGATTTAATTTGATATGATGCTTGACTTACTATTTTGCAGTTTAAAACACCTTTTAATTATTTTTTTAATAGAATATTAGCTGTCTATAGATAATATCGTAAAAGAGTCTTTTAAATTTCAAACACCTCCAAATAATTTTGAAGCCCTTATTTGGTACTAGAATGCGACAAAAGTTGTATGTTGATTCTTACCTTTAACCAAAGCAATAACTGACTCAGCTAAGTAAGGTAGCTAAGGCTGAGTCACAGCAAAGCGTGGTGGGGTTCAACTAGTATATGTCACTAGTATATAGTATACTACGAACACATATAAGTTGAGTTTGCCAAAACCTGCGTCGTTATATTATTATTTAGTGGTTATGTCGAATTAAATGCAATTGCCGGGGTTATTGGATGATGACTAAACTTAACCGTAGCAGCAATTGGCAAAATCATTAAATGTGTCCTACACGGTTTGTAAAAAGTTTTATTTGTAACAAGTTTCTTTAATGCCACGAAAGAAAATTATTTTTGCATCGACTTATGATGCGTGACAAAAAAAATTGATATATTTTGAAAATCACTTAAAAAAAACATTCATTCAAACTATGCTTAGTGTCTTCTGGGACCAGAACGGTGTTGTATGTTACAACTCCTTAAACACGCCGAAATCGTTAATGCACAACACTATCACTAACAAATGATTTATTTATATCACGCATTGATTGAAAGACGACCCGCATAGCCCAGAAGGCTGTGCAAAATGATATGGTTACAAGACTATGTGACGTCTTCCACAGAAAACTGGTGAAGGATAGCTTGACATTTCTTGAATGCGAAATCCTTCGCACTCACCGTACTCTTCAGACCTGGCGTTGTCTGACTTTCATCTCTTCGCATCAATGCGCCACGCGTTCGTAGATCAGCGCTTCAAGTATTTTGAAAAGGTTGGAAAATGGCTCAACGAATGGTTTGCCGCATAAGACAAGTAGATTTTCTTGTCATGATATTCATAAATTATTTCAATAATGGGCAAAATTTGTAGAAATCGATAGTCTTTAGACACAAAAAATAAAACAAAATTTTCCTAAAAATCACGTGTTTCTGCACAAACAAAAAATTACAGAAAAACTTATAGATGTACCTGGTATATACACTGAGAGCAATAAAATACTCAAATTGTGAATTTGATTTTCTTAATTGGTTTTTTTTTTAATTAAATATATTTCTTATAAAGAGAAAAGCATGCTAAATTCGTAATTCTAGAATTGAGAAAATTGTTTCTGGAATATTTAAAATTTTTTATCTAAGGGACATATATGTAAATATTACCTCAAATGATATGATAGTTCTTATGTGTCATGAGACTAGACGGGTATTCTAAAAATACTAGATGCGCATACAGCAATATTACAAATTAACGAAATAGACAACATTTTGAAGACAACATTTGCCATAAAAGGGTTAAAAATAGTAAAAGTCTGAGCGTTAAAAAAATTATTGCATTCCAAGATTGAAGAAATGCATTTGTACCGGAAATCTTGTCTTAGTACAGTTAAACCGTTCTTTTCACCCACAAAGTTCAGACATTTGCATTAATGCTTGGAACAAATTGCTAAGGCTCTCACATCGATAAAGCATCACGTCATTAATAATACAAAAGGCCATTCACACTTGCCAAGCGAAAAGCAAAACAGCCACAAGAAGCAACGGATCGTCTGAAAGCTTCTAATGCATTGGCAACAATGTCTTCAGTAAACTTGTTGCTTACGAAGAACGGCAACAAAGTTACTGACCGATTGCGTGACATCGATAAAATATTTTGAAACCAAAACGGAATATCACAAAAGGAACACGAGTCACTACAGTGCAACTTTAGATAAACTTAAAAAATAAGTATTAGAAGTATTTTTTATTTTTAGGTTCTCATTCTTATATTCATTTATAGTCAATTTTTTTACTACTCATTGTTTCTTTATTTAAATGCAATTTGCACATAACGTCAAAATACATCATCAAGCCATGCAAAACTGTGTTAATTGATCGTTATTGCCGTTGACGAATACGAAAGGGAAATAACATAGCATTGGTGTTGCTAAGTGCCAAAGCTTCGAATTCAATATCTTTGCAACAAGCTTGCATATTTATTTCTTAACAACATGTTGCTGCATTTTTTCAATTGAGCAAAGAGGTTGGGTCAAACTGGGTTAAAAATTATTTAAAAAAAAATAAATTAAATAAATGCTTTTCGTAAATTTGCTAATATTGACGTCAAGGCTATGTCAATTGCTGTACTCTTTGCTTTTG